AGAGAGAGAGAGAGAGAGAGAGAGAGAGAGAGAGAGAGAGAGAGAGAGAGAGAGCTAAAATGAGCTCAAGGTGAGGTAGCTTGCAACATTCCAATCTCCCCACAGTACTGAAAGTCTAATCAGCCGATCACACATTCTTTTCAGTTTTCCTTCTGACTCAGAATCCAGTGCTCAGAAAATCCTGTTGGCTTTACCACAAACCAGTATAACCAATCCAGTGACTTCGGCACCTCCACCGAGTGAGCATCTCAGTCGCCATCACCTCTTTTTACAATTACACTTTCCTTAGTGGTTCCCGGACTCATGTTTTTGTCTCTCTCAGAAAACCACAAACCTTATTTAAGAATCCCCCAGCTTCAAACTTTAAAGTAGTACTTGGTCACTACAGGAGTTTTAGAAAAAGCTTTACTGTGGGAAAGTTCTGTGTCCCATGTAACCCAGGCCTCCAGAGCCACCTCGGTAGGTCTACTGACCGAGAACCCCCCTTCCTGGAAGGCTGTATCCTACGTGAACTATAGGCTCCCACCTTAAATTACCCTACAGTGTTGCATTCTTAAAGTACCTGATAAAGCTATCTCCTGCACTACTAAATTGGTTTTTTCTAATACATTTGTCAGTATGTAAAGATATTTTTTAATTTTCAGTCTGTCCCCTCACACCTAGAACATGAACTTTACATGAGCAGAAATTTTCATTTTCTTAACTGGCAAATCCCCAGTGCAAAGATACTAAAACTTTTGTTAAGTGACTCAACATCCCAGAAAAACCTTATATTTACTTCACTTTCCAGGAGAAACTCAGGTTGTAAAGGTACTGGAATTAAAGGAATCAGGCAAGGACGCACAACCAGGAAACGTCAGCTCACTCTTTAAAGCTAACGTCTGGCTGAATGTTTGTTTGTTTTTGAGACAGGGTTTCTCTGTGTAGCTTTGCGCCTTTGCTGGATTTCACTCTGTAGCCCAGGCTGGCCTCGAACCCACAGAGATCTGCCTGGCTCTGCCTCCGGAGTGCTGGGATTAAAGGCGTGTGCCACCACCGCCCAGCTGGTTGGATTCTTTTTTTTTTATTTATTTATTTATTTATTTATTTATTATGTATACAGCATGTATGACTGCAGGCCAGAAGAGGGCGCCAGATCTCATTACAGATGGTTGTGAGCCACCATGTGGTTGCTGGGAATTGAACTCAGGACTCAGGAAGAGCAGTCAGTGCTCTTAACCTCTGAGCCGTCTCTCCAGCCCTGGTTGGATTCTTTTTATCACTGCCTCACTAAAACTAACAACTTACTGTGCAGCACTTTAAAGAGTGAGCCTCAGAAAAAAATCTTTGCCCAAATACAGCTCAGATCACGGCCGCTCAGTGACGTCAAGACGCCTCGCCCCGCCCCCTCCGAACTAGCACCGCCCAGCCCTGTGCCCGCGAGGGTTGCCTGGGACGCCTGCGCAGTGAGTATTTAGCGCACAGATTTCTGGGATTGGTAGTCCGTAGTCCTCTAGCTTGTTATTGGCCTGCAAAGGAAATAACAACGTAACTAGACCGCTTTGAATTTGATAAAAAAAAAACAATTAAATAAAACCGAGGCCGTGTCTCAGAAGAGTAGGAGCACTGAGTCGTTTCCAAAGGAGGCTCCCGTATCGGCACAGGCGCCGCTCGGACGGCCGCACGGGGTCCTCGGCTGGGCGGGGCCTCGCGCAGTGCCTTGTGGGTCCTTCCTGCACCCTCTCTCTCTTTCTCTCGGGCCCGTGGCGCCGGCAGGATGGGTGAGCTGTGCGGGGCCGGGCTGGGTGTCCGCGGGAGGGACCCGGGGCTCGGGGCACGTCCGTCGTGGGCCGAGAGAGCGGGGAGCGGGGGTGCGCTGCGGCGGAGGCCGGGTGAGGAAGCCCCGTCCCGCGGGCACGTG